GTTCAACAAGCGTCCGGAACCGGAAGGAGACGACCCGTGGAGCTGCGTGGTGTCCGTATCGGATCGAGGAAGCTCGCAACGTCCTCGTAGCAGCGAATCGCGAAAGGAGCCGACGAATCATCGTGGCTCCGCCGATCTGGCAGCCAGTCAACGTTCGGAGAGCAGGCAACCAACCCGGGAGGAAGGCACCGGAGTACTCGACAAGCGGCAAGAGTCCTCGAGGCAAACCAGCGAGGACATCTCCTGGGAGTACACGATAAACGAGGCGCCGATCGCGAGACTGGAGTCGTTGGACGAACTCGATCAGGATCACGGTAGTTAAGGCCATGGTTCCCCCTTCCCTTACGAAGTAAATTGCAGCTCGCTTGCGACTAAGACGCGACCGCGTCGTCGAGGAATCGACGACACGATTCTAACGATTCATTTTCGGATGGCTGTGGACTCCTTCCGTTCCCTTTTGGAGGAAAAAACGTGGCGCCAGGATAGAACACGCGTCCGCTGATCGATTCTCTCTTGAAGATTCGGTTCATGGTTAGAGCTTAGCACCTGGCCGTGAATTTCGACGAAATCCATTGATCGAATCCTTCGAACGCAACGAGTGTCGGTCATTTTTGTAATTTGACGAGTTCGAATTTCGACGAGTATTTGTGAACGATGCGACGCCGGGTAAATTTCATTTGGAATAAAGATATTTAAGATCGAAGTGACGGGTCATTCCCATTGTTTTTGTTCGAGATTATATCTTGACGTCAAATAAATCATTTGCAAACTATCTTCTGCTTGAGTTAATTCATTGAGATCGAACGACGAATATAATTCCCTAGCTAGAGGTGAAGCTTACACGGTAGAATCGGGAACTATTTGATAAAAAACGAAATGAAGGATCTTCGTCTAATGTAACTTTCACTTTCTTTTCAAACGTTCTCTCATATTCCGCGTTACTAATCGCGAAACGTTATTAAAAATGATTAGTATTTTTAGTGCGATCTTAATTTTCGACTGTACAGTTCTATTTAATACCCTATGGTTTATCGTATAAAATATAGGACACTAAATAGAACAGAATAAATTCAAATTGAATATCTTATTCTAGCAACAATTTATCGTCGCACGATTTTTGCAAGATGACCTCTCTCTCATTCCCTTGAAATATTTTCTTCAACTTATATCAGTCCACGTTATCGTTCAATTCTTGAGTAGAATTATCGAGGGAAAATCGATCAGCAGGCGTGACAGTAATATCGACGTGGTACAAGAAGTTTTAAGTTTCGAAAGAATGAAAATACGAGAGGAAAGAGTGAGAACAGAGAGCACGAGCAGCGTTTCAGAAAGTTATACATGTACACTCTCGTTCATAAGTCATGTAGAGCACCTAACAAAGATAATAAAATTGACATGTATTTCATTTCCAGAATGTATAACCTAAAGATACATATATGTCAAAGATTTTATCAAAATAATGTTAATAATGTTATCAAAATAATTTTATTTTTGCATTCGTCTCTTAAATTATTATATTAATCTTTCTATTTTTTTGACGATATTTTTGAGGAAGCTTCTTCTGAATGCATTTGTAAGTCTCTCTTCGATTTTATAAATTATGAACTCTTCAATTCATAATTTTTTTTTAATTATACATATTTATTTAATCCTTTGAACTCCTCCAACTGAGAGTAAAAAATCCTTTGTCGTTATATTATAGCATGGAAAAAGAAAAACATTCTGAAAATTTTGAATCTTTTGACAATGAGAATAACAATTCTTTTGCTACATACGAAAATAATTTAGCAGAAACTGCAATCGATTATATTTAAATCATTTGTAATACAGAAAGTAACATTGACCATAGTGAAGAGATAATTTCAAGAAGAAAACAAAATTGCGCATTATTAGAAGTGAAATTAAAAGAAACATATAATGAAATTTAAAATATATGTAACATTATATATTAATATATTAATACATTTATTCGTTAATTTATCTATAGACTTTTTTTTATTTGATACGGTAAGGTTTTTCAATATTCATCATGCACTGCAATATGCAGTTGATCATATGATAAAACTGGAGTCCAAGAGATTAAAGTATACATGCGCGTACCTATACTATTAATTTCACGTTAAAATTGCTATAAACTAGACGAGTATAATAAAATTAAACGTCCAAGAAAATTCTATTAGTATTCTAAAAATTGTTGAAACGATCAACTTATGGACGAGAGTGTCAAAAAACACAGGTACACACATTACATAGACGACACAGTGGTATCGACACACGATTTTAATCCGACGTGAACTTGCCTTCGACGATTTCTACCCCGTATTGACGCTGTATTCCCTTCAAGTAATTTTTTAATCGAATTAAACCGATATACACACGCGCATCCACACACGTACACGAGTACATACACGATTAATATATTATATTCTCCTCTGGAGGCGATGCTTTCTCGTTTCTCGCACGTGGAGAGAAAGAGAGGGCTTTCTTTCATTACACGATAATAAAAATTAACAAGAAGTAGAACGATGGAAATTAAACAAGAATGAAATGAAAAAAAAAAAAAGAGTAAAATAAAAGTACAAGATAATAAAAGCGGAAGATCGGTGTTCGTAAAAAGGAGAAACAGAGAAATAACGATTAAAGAGATATGCGGATCTGGTGGAGAGAAAGAGGCAGAAAGAGAGGTACAGGAAGTTTCTCGAATTTTTTCCGAAATCCTTCGTGTCACAGTGCAAAATCACGTAGCTAATGTAAGTACGAAATTAAGTGGTTGATATCGACTGAGAGTGAGCACTTTCTTTTTTTATTTGCTTGTAAGCGATTAAGTAAGATTACGAGAGAGAGAGAGAGAGAGAGAGAGAG